TGGGAAGAAATGTGAGATAACTTTGTGTCATTGAATCATAAAATCACAGGTTTGGAAGATACTTTAAAGCCATCTACTTCCCCCTCTATCAACAGAACTATGATATATTATCATATTAAATAAAATGTCATGTGGATAGTTTAGAAAGTACATACAGCATGTGTAATTTGTGTTTGATTGTGGCACATGAGTTAGACTTGTTAGACAGAATGTTTCTTGACGTTTCTGTAAAGAGATTGAATCTCAAATTCCTAGAGTCAGGAATCAATGCCCCTTTAATATAAGATGTTTTGTGAGGAGAACAAATTTGAATTTGATAATAATAAGTTATTATGGGCCATTTCTGGATCCATCCCTTCATTCATATTCAGTCCTGCTCAACATTATTTAGTCCTACGCTAAGATTCTATTTTGTAACAAAGATCCCTTTACTGGAAACCTCAGTTTTATTGAATGAAGGAGGCCAATGGTTGAAAGTCAAAACCAGTGGTTCTCAGCTAGACTGGAGTTTGGGGGCTGGGGCATTTCCTCTCAGGGCACATTTGTCATTTGTGAAGATTTTCTTCTTGTCATAACTGGGGAAGGGTACTATTGGCATCTGATGGGCCATCTGATGGGGATAAATATTAAAGATAAATATTTATTCAACCCAAATGTCAGTGGTGATGAGGCTGAGAAACACTGCTATAAACTGATGTAACAAAATATTTACATGTTTTAGTCGAGTTGTACATATCTTAATTTGCTAATAAAGCATATAGAGACACTAGCATGTTTACCTGTCACAGTCATCAAATAAATGTGAAAGTAACTTCTAAAAATAACTTTCTTATTTCTACTTACTTCCTCCCCAACAATACATTTGCACAAACGAATTAAAATTTCTGTTGAACTTGGAGTTATTTCTTATAAGCTCTGAGCCAATTGTATTTTATTGCCTGAGATTCTATATGTCAGAATTATTTGGTCAGGAGATTTTTCTTATGCTGTGATTTTCCCATGTATTTCACCAAATTCTCCTATGTAGCTTTTCCAGTTATATTGTTCTTTATCTTTAGTCAATAACTCTTCATAAAAAATACTTAAATAATTACACACAGCTTTTCAAATATAACATGTTTTTATATCTTATTTTATGTCAGGACATTTTGAGAGAAACAGTAGTATTAATAATTTATAACAATATTTTAAATTTATAGAACATATTTAATACAGAGGTTTCTAGCCCATTTTAAAGTATCTTATAATATATGCATATACACATAGATATAACATGTATCACATAGAAATGCACATGCTTGTGCACACACAAATTTCTTCTGTATTTTATATTTAACCTCTTTGAGGAAGGACATCATAGGCATTCTATATTTGCAATAAAGTCCAATAATCTCTATACTACAAAACTATGAATAATTTAACCAACTAATATTACAGGGAGAAAATTGCAGAGGCATTCTAGTAAGCTAAATTTAATTCAGACTTGGCAATCCAAAGATAAAATCTCTTCTTCGAAAAGTATAAACAGAATCATTTGTGTTGACAGTTCCTTTGAGCCTCACTGGAACTTCATCATCTCAAAAACTGAGACATCTTTAGAAATCAGGATTCCGGTTCATCACCAAATCACAGTTGTCTTTATAGCCCTTCATCCCTAGGGAGTTAGAGAGATTCGCTTTCTCCCAGGTTCAAACATTTACTCCCCGTGTCAGGTGAACCTGGAAGTCAGTATACTCTTACCAGAAGAGGAAGGCTGATGATTATAACAAACTTGAAAATTATTTTTAAAATCATCATGATCGTGGACCCCAATTCCACCCTACTGATTGTCATTCATTCCGCCCGAAGTCTGTGGACCAGCGCTCCTGTCTGTAACTGTTGGCCTTTTACCTACTGGCCTCATTCATGTCACATGTCATATTTTCCTTATGTTTGTTAGGCTCTAAAGAGTCCTGTGCTGGCTAATTTTGGATGTCAAGCTGTCATTAAAAGGCCCAATGCATGAATTTTCAAATAATTTTAAATTATCTTTGCTTTAAATGATCGTGGTGGTCATCATTACAAATAAGGAAAAGGTGTTTCATAGTATCAATTGAAAATCACAGAGCACAAATAATCCTTAATTTTTCTTGATAGGGAAAGGGAGGGATGTTTTCTGTAGTTTCATCCATGAACTCCTACAAAAATGTTTGCGTTGTGCTGTTTCTCTTCAAAGAAGAGAGTGCCATCCTAGCAGAAATCTATGTTTTCTATGCATCAGAAATAATTTATGACAGCCTTGAGAGTACATGGTAGGAATAAGAATTCTCACATTCCCAGTGTTGTCAATTACTTCCTGATTTTCAAAGGTTAATTTGATAACAAAAATGGAAAGGACTCCACAAAGTTCAAATGAGAAATTGCCTTATTAGATGCCCTTTTGATTCCAGGAGCTGCTCCTGGGGATGCAGGGACTAAACATATATGGTGCCTTCCCCATCATAACTTCGCTTTCATCACTAAGACACTACAGATTTGAAATTCCTAGAGCTTTAAAATGTTTAATAAAATTTGTATGTGTTTATAAAGTTTTTAGGGAAGGTAAAAGAAAAATAGTCTGTAAGAAAGCGTGAAGCATTAAATTTTTGGAAAAGGAATTTTCTTATTTCTCTGTATACCTGGCAAAGGATTCACCTCGTTGGTACCTAAGCTCTGTAAGTTGTTTGCACTTCTTGACCAACCATGGGAGCATCTTTAGTTGTCAAAAGATGTGCTGTCATAATGATAAGAGATCATTAGAGGCGCGTGTCCTGCCATAATCTAAGGTATAGGTCCAGATTATGTTAGAGTTATTACATATTCAAGCACCTTGCTATATACTGAAGAAAAAACAAAACATTAAATCACAAAATGGTTTCCTTCGCTTGGCATACCTTTCCCTGGTTAGTGCATAAACAAGCCTTAAAATGCAAGATAAAAGGTCCATATTTAGAAGCTAAAGCATTGTAGAAAATGAGTAGTGTATTGTGAAATAAAGCAATTTCTTAACTCCAATTAGTTTACATGTCTTCAACCACATATCTAAACCCTCACAATTTTTATTTTAATTAAACTGAAGAGATCATCTCTTCATTTACAGGCTTATACTTTTTGATAGTTTGAAGTTAAAAGGAGTTAAAGTTACAACATGGGAAAGAGTAAACAATTCAAAAGTTATTGAGGTAATTTTTTATTTTAACACTGAAAGTACAATAAACAATTTTAGTAAACCTCTTGTCTCCAATAGCAAGTGAAAACCACATTCTCATGGGTTATACCTTGTATTCTTTATTTTAAAAATGTTAAAAATGCTGGAAACTAGTTGTTATATGACACAAATACATAAAATTTGTGTTCTTTGTAATGTTTTTTTCCACTGGAGCAAAATTGCTTTAAAGGGAAATAGCTTCCTCAACTGATAGAATTTTAAAATAGGGATTTTATTACTTTTTTCTTTCTTTACAAAGGTTCATGATTTTTATCCCAATATGAAATTTTGTGTGTGTTGTGATTGGTGGGCAATGGTTAAATATGGTATCGTATTTATGCGTTGCAAATTGCCTTAGCTTTGCACTTTAGCACCACCTGGTGGACAAAATATCATTTTTTTCTCTACAGTTAAATGTAGTCCTTTCACTCTATGTCATATCTTAATTATAAAAGTATTTCATCTTAAGAACTACTGTAAACAATATGAAGTAAAAGAAAAAAATCTGAGATGTTTCCTAAGTACTATTGACCACTTAAGTGTCTGAGTTTTTTAAAACTTCATGAATATATATGGATTTGAATAGTCTATTACATATGCAAAATGTGAGGGGGTTTTATACATTTTAATTTTTTATCATTTACATATTTTTATTGATAATTAAATAAATAATTTAATTTAAACTAAGAAGTTTTCAGTTACACTTTGTAAATACTTTATGGAGAATTTTCATACAACATTCTTATTGTGATGATAGTTTATGTACAATTAAAATTAAAACTAGTATTTTAACCACTAATACTATAAAATAAGCCATTTTCATGCGTATTTTTCTACTTATAATTAAAATTTAGTGTGGCCTTGTATCTATTAGTACTTAGTTTTTAATACTTCAAAAATTTTTCCAGAAAATAAATATGACGATATTTCCAAGTGAAAAACACAATTTAATTTAAATTTAGTTCTGATAATTTGATACATGTTAATCTTTGTATAGTTCCACATTTCTGTGAAATATAGTGAATGTTTTTCCTTGAAATACAGAGAAAATAATTTTCAGATTTCACTGTTTTTTTGGAATAGACTAATATATACTCCCTGATAAAATCAGGGGAGGGGCTGTAAATTTTAATTGTGTGATATTCACAGGCTTAGTAGCTAAATAAGAGCTGATGATATTTAGATAGTAAATATGTTCTAGCTTCACACTTTTAGTATGTCATTTAAGATAAAATTATAATAAATAATCTTCATTAAGATAAGCATCTTAAACTGAAGTTATTTATAGTAGCCCTCCCCCCATTCATGGTTTCACTTTCTGAGGTTTTGGTCACCCATGGACAACAGAGGTCAGAAAATATTAAAGGGAAAATTCCAGAAATAAAGAATTCATAAGTTAAAATGAGCACCATTCTAAGTAGTGTGATGAAATCTTATACTATCCTGCTCTGTTCTATTTTATTGTTAGTTATTACTGTTAATCTCTTATTGTGCCTAATTTAGAAATTAAACTTTATTATAGGTAGTTTACAGCTATTCATATGGAACAGTATACAATAATAAATAATAATACAAGAATAAATTCCATGTTTCCTGTACTCACAACTGCAAACTTACTTTTGCCCCACCCTGTATATATATGTAGGACAAAAACATAGTACATTTAGGGTTTGGTACTATCATTAGTTTTAGGCATCCCTGGCAGTCTGGGAATGCATCCCTGTGGATAAGGCAGACTACTGTACTTTGTTACTTCAAGAAAATACTTAAATTCTTCCCTGTCTTTTCCTCCTTTTTCCTAAGGCCTTGGATTGTATACTGTAAATTCAGCGTATGGAGATACCATTAGCATGCCTTGCCGACTCGACGTACCTCAGAATCTCATGTTTGGCAAATGGAAATATGTAAGTGCAACCTCCCTTGGATTTGATTAATTGCCTCTAGTTTTTTAAATAAAAGTTCTTCCGTGAATGCCTGTGAATTTCAACTGAACATATTGGCAATATTCAACTGTGGTGCAAACGTAAGAAGGCAGAATTCATGTGTTGAGTATGTAAAAAGAATAATTCCTAAGCCTTACATAACAAATGCTGTTTTAAGATAAATCCAATAAACACCTGATTCTTAGATCACTGTAGTCTGGAAAATTCAACCTCGAGTGTTAGAGGCCGAAGAAAAGACAGAGTTCCAGAGTAAAATGAGTGGAGTACAGGCTAGAGCTTAGTGGAGGACAGACCTGCATCTGCTTAGTGTGGCTGCTGCGAAGGCCGGATGCACCAGTAGCCAGCATAGCCGAATATTCACGGAAAATTAATCATCAATATTAGAAGTTCATTTCTGATTCTCTAGTCTTAGAACTGTATTGATGCGGTAGGTCCTTTTTACATTTGACTCTGTTGACTTTATCTACTTCTTGCAGATATTTTTTTGAATAGCAAGGTACAGATGGGTCTGGAAATGGAGGGTCGATGTGGAGTGGCTCAGTAACATCAACTGACAAAGTGTCTCAATTTCATTACCAGAGCCAACAAAAGGTGTTCTATGGGGCGTGATTTTCCAGTGCTGCATCACATGAGACCCATGGTAGTCTGCACGCTTAAAATAGGCCTATGTTTCCTTGAACATAAAGGCAAATGTTCCCCAGGTCCTTGAAATACTGAAAGATATTTGAATAGGAAAATGATCTGATGGTCAAGTAATTTTTGAAGTTCCTTTATTGCAACACTTCTCAGAGCCTTCCTATGTTAAGGTGCATTATGAGTTGTCTGAGTTTGATATATTTCTTAGGTTTTTTTAACCATACAACTCTTCCCCCTCAGATATCTGCAAACATAAACATTCTACAGAACACACTTTGGGAAATGTGGGCAGTGTGCTTAAGGCTGCACCCAGAGAGTGGGACGACACGCGCTGTTAAAATGTGGCTTCTGAAGTGGGACCAGCGTGTTCCACCACACACTCACTGTGGGGCTCTGCACAGTGAACTAATCCCCATTTTCTCATCGACAAAATGAGAGGATAAGAATAACCTCCCATGCAGTGTTGTGAGGGCTACATGAAGTAACGCATGTCAGAACAGTTACATGGTGCTTGGCATGTGATAGTTGCATGAAAAATGCCAGCTGCTGTGGCTGTGGGGCTGCGAAGCTGAAACACTCTGTGTGAGGGGCGTGCGAGGCGAGCAAGGAATGAGGCCACATGGCACTTCCCCGTGCTCACCACCTGTTAGCCAGCTCACGTTGAAATGTTTCTGGTTTCCTGTAAAAGTGGATGTATGAAGTTGAGGCCTGTGAGAACAGAGTCTTTTTGCACCCCTAGAAGCCCTACGGCCTGGAGACTACCACATAATTCACCTGTGGAGTCAAATTTACTGCCAAAATAAGTGGAACACAGATGGCGAATGGAAGCTTCCGTGATCGCAGACTTTTCTGAGGATAACCCAGAGAATAATTTTCACCTAAACGGAACTGGCACAATGATAGTGGAAACAAACAATAATGGCAATTTTCAAATTGTTAATTTCGTAAAAAGCTTCAGCTATAAACTGATGAGATGCATTTGATGTACCATGTGCTCTAAAAACTGTTGATTTGCAGGCATAGTGTACAAGCTCTAATTTAATGTAAACTGGAGGACAAATGGCGGGTTTGGAAAGAGTGAAAGGGAGCAAGCATTGAGGAAGGATGGAGCACCCGTCCCCTACTGCATGGCAGTCTCCCAATGAGTGAGCCCCCCTTTGCACTGTGCTCCCCTTCGCACCCCTCTCTTCCCACCTCTTCACAGTATCTGCCTCAAGGCCTGGTCTGGATGTGGCACCTAACGGCTACAGAGAGTGGTACTGGGTGCTCATAGTAGAGCCAGACTGCCACACTCCAATTTTGCTTTGCTGAGATACACTAGCTGGGCCTTTGGAGAAGTTATTTAACCGACCTCTGTCTCCATTGTCTAGTCTGCAAATGGCACTAATGTCATAACTCTAACTTACAGGGTTGTTATGAGTATTAAGTCAATTAATGCATGGAAAGCCCAAAGAAAGTACCTGGCATATAGTTAAGTACTCAGAGAATAGCTATTATTTATTGCATAAGCGAATGAACACACAAATTTAAGGTACTGTTCTAACATGTCCTTTAATGAGTAGTGATTTAGGGCAAGGATTTGCATTGTAAACCTGTGAGAAAATTAAAAGATTTAAGGAGAATATTATTGATTTATTTATATATTCAACCAACTAAAGTTTTTGAACTCCAAGATTAGCTTAGTAATTGCATTAGTGTGAATCTCTGTAACAAAATACCAGAGACATGGACTTAAACAAGAGATACTTATTTCTCACAGTTCTGGAGGCTGAGAAGTCCAAGACCAAGGTGCTGGTTGGCACATCCAGCTCTTGGTGGGGGTCCTCCTGATTTGTAGACAGCTGACATTTTGCCATGTGCTTATATAACCTCTTCTTTGTGCTCTCACCGAGAGACCAGCACCACCCAAGTCTCATACCCTTCTTATAAGGTCACTAATCCTATAATGAAGGTGCCTTGGCCAGGGCCTCATCTAAACCTAATTACCTCTCAAAGGCTCCACCTCCCAATACTAATGGACTGGGGGCTGGGACTTTCACATGAATTTGGTGATGGCATTTAGTCCAGAACAGTAATAAATATTAATAATTTTTTTAAAATGTAACACCTTAAAATTCACCATGCACTTTAAAATATTTTATCATGTTTTATTTTCTCAGAGGTCTTGTGAGGTAAGTAGATTCCCCCTATTTTTTATTAAATTCCTTAATAGGTAAGAGAATTCTTGTGGGAGCAGAGGAAGAAATGAATTATATGTCTCAGTGCTTTTGGCAGAGCTGTGTATGCCCAGGTTATATTTTATTTTGATAATAAACTTTCATATGAAAGTGCTCTGAGCTAAGTTTTATGACTCAGGTAGGAAAATTATGGATTTTAGTGATTAATCTGCTTCTATTGCTAAATGGATGTGATTGTTTCACAAGGGCAAATACCGTTCCTCCACAAAGAGTCATTAAACTATGCTACGTGTAAAGGTCAGCTGTGTCAGTCTTGGCTGAAACAGAGAGGTATGGACATTTAAAGTATGTGGCTTGAAGTAATGAATATGCAAAAGAGAACTGTCCATGACTGCCAAATGCATGTTTGCAGCTCAGGTGTACGCTTGCTGTGATGGTTAGCTATCACTTTGGACACTTGTATATTTGTTTGCATCTATTTTTTTTCCTTTTATATTAAACATAAGACAAGCTCTTGTCAGTTTTAAAACAGTCACTAATTCTGCCCTCCAGATGTAGGAAAAGCTCAGATTCCTAGAGCTTTGCCCCTTCCTCTTCAGATATATATATATATTATTGTTGACAGTATGACAGATGTCCTTCATTTTTGCCCCCTCTACCCAGGCCCCACCCCACCCCAGGCCTTCCCCACATTATTGTCAATATTTAAGCTGATACCTTTTAAAAAACGTACAGCTTCTCTTATGAAGAGTAATTTTCTGTACCCAAAGATTTATGTGAGGCTTGTATCCAAAATTATTCCTCTTGGGCACAACTGTAAATATCGGTAGAAGAATATGGCCAAGGAAATACTGTTATTCTGGATGTGATGCTGAAACACCTGAACATGCTTGCTTTTAAAATGTACTGTTGTTTTAATTTTTAGGAAAAGCCTGACGGCTCCCCAGTGTTTATCGCCTTCAGGTCCTCTACAAAGAAGAGCGTTCAGTATGACAATGTACCAGAATACAAAGACAGACTGAGCCTCTCGGAAAACTACACTCTGTCCATCAGCAACGCGAGGATCGGCGACGAGAAGAGATTTGTGTGCATGCTCGTGACTGAGGACAACGTGTTCGAGGCCCCTACAATAGTCAGGGTGTTCAGTAAGTAGTCTGCAGTGTAAGTGCTACGTGGGATTGACGGCTGGTCCTGGAAATGTTCTTAAGAAAGGAGAGGACTGTGTAGGGTCCCACAGGCAGGCGTCCCTGGGAGAGGAATTCTAGCCATCTTCACTCTCCTGCGTGTGGCCAGGGAGGGAAACCAGTAAACCCTGAAGTTCAAACAGGACTTTCGGAGTGAGGAACTAAAAGAATATTCTCTGTTGTTTCATTGGGTAGAATTTCCTGTGATATGAAGTACTAGTATGTGGAAATTGGCATGTGACCTTTATAGTCACGGACATGTACAAATAAATGTTCTGTGATATGTACATAGGTACATGATATGCATACAGAATCATGCATGTCATGCATGCATATATGCTATGTGTTAGGCAGAATTTTTATACATAAAAACAATAAAATACAGACAAATCCAAACTATCTTGTGATTTAGAGAGCTAAGTTTTGTGTGTGTGTGTGTGTGTAAACCCTACACACACACACATCCTAACCTTTAATGCTTGCCAATTTGTTCCTTCAAAGCGCTCAGTTGGTTTATGAAATTGCCCTAAAGTAACAAAGTTTACCACATCCTGAATGTGTATGTGGAAAACAAGAAGGGGGTAAACACAGAGTAGGGTTAAAAGAAGAGAAGAGTGCAGGAAAAATTTGGATAACTACTGTAGTAATTAAGGCGAGGTTTCTTTGCCTAATGATAATACATAGTTAATGTTACTGTGCACACTGCTATGCAAATGAGTGACTTGAGAAGTTCTAGTTAAATTATTTTATCTGCTAATATTCAAATAAAGAGTCCCACCTCTGTTACATCATAATATTTTAGAAGATACAGGGAGAAGAACAGTCTCAAAAGCTTCAGAATGCCAGTCTCACTTTTCAGTTTTTCCCCTCTGCTTTCTGATGAGTTGACAGCACCTAGAAATTATTAAAATAAATAGGCAAGAAAGAAACCCCGAGGGCCTTGCTGCTACAGCAAGTAAGCATGGATTTTTCCTGTTTCTCTCGTAATAGCCTAGGCAACCAAGTAGGACTGTCCCTTAAGTATTTATATGGACTTCAAAGCTCCTATGGGCTTCATGACATGGATTCAAAGAGTGCTTATACTATCAAAGGAAACTTTGGCCTCCAGAAGAAACTTCTAAGAGCATGCTACATGTTTCGGTTGATTACCTTTTAGTTTAGGAGGCACCTGTTCACACTTCTCAATTGTTTTAGGAATCAAACCAATTATCAAGTGTTTGTCAGTCATGCCCCATTCTATTAAACACCCCAAATAATCGGCACCCTGTATTTGGCAATATTCCATGTGTTTTTTTCCCTTTTATTTCACTTTGATGTCACGAGGAAGATGCACTGCTAGGGACACTTTCTAAAGAGAGCAACCAAAATTATTTCATGAGGCTGTGATGTCATAAATGTAAGCACATATCAAGAATGTACTATCGTAGGTGCAGAGATGAAGTCACAACACTCTAAAGTTTATGTGTGTTGATTCGTCATTGTTGGTTTCTTTTTTACTGGGTTAAAATGACCAAATCTCAAGATGTATACAAGAAAGTTGAGAAAATCCAGGTTGTTCCATTTATGACAATTTTTAGACTATATTTAAAAAAAAAAAAGCCATATGGCTATCTGGGAAAAAATGCAATTGCTTGTATTAGATAAAATTTGTAAGTCATTTTGGAATACAGAGGATTTCTATGATTGTGAAAACAGACTCACACCCGCATACCCTCAGCACCCCACCCCCTTCTCTTTTGAATGCTGTTGAAAACAAAGTGATTCTCAGAAACAGAATTTGCATTCCAGGCCGGGGGCCAGGGAGAATTCAAATAGACAAGCTACACACTCTTGAAAATAGAGTTTTATACTAAAAACCGTGGGACACTGCACGTCTTATCACATGACCAGCACAGCTCACGATAAAGAAAGTGTGTGCAAGAGCATATAGGGGCTTCGCTTTCTTAAAAATAATGAATTTACTTTGGGTCACTTTTCATGAAGCAACCAGCAGCTGTGACAGGGAGGCTTTCATTCTATGCATGTATATATTGCAGTCACTTAAGAGTTACTAGGCTCATCAATCAGCCCTCTGTTTCCTTCTGTCGAATCACCTAGCAACATGCGCTGTGTACCGCAGAATGGAGAGTGGTTAACGGGAGCTAATCCCAGATCAGCTTGCTGCAGAGTGTCGTCCTCATGGGCAACGGCAAATTGCATTTATTCAAACGAGGAGCCATGACGGATGACTTTGTTACCTCCGATGCAGAGCTGTTTGTTTAGTTTTAACCTGTACCTCAGATGCAAGAAAACATTTCAGTAAAGCAGCCGAGATCACAATAAATCATGTACTTTGTCACCACTAATACAGCTCTTTCTTTTTTCCTTTCTGGTAGTTGAATGGCATCAAAATCAAACTGTGTTTGCGCTGAATGCACATTTGAAGTTAATAATACCATTCAAAAGGAAGAATAGACCTTTAAAAGTTCCCAAAGATCCATTCCAGTCATTGTGTAAAGGTCTTAGAGGTCAATTGGGTACCCGCGTTGCCAAATGGCTGTCAGTGGTGTAATAGAAAAATCACAGGACTGGTCATCAGGAGACCTAGCTTGGTTAGAAATGCTGCTAATTTCTGACCTTGGGCAAGTCGCTTCATCTGTCTGGGGCTATGAGTGAGTACTTCCTCATCAGTAAAATAAGTTCTTTGGAGCAGATGCAGTTTTCCTGTTGTGTTCCTAGGATCCTTTTGAGCCTGGAGAGCTGAGGAAGTGAGGAGCTGCTTCTGTTGGATTAGCTAGAATTCCACCTACTCAATATTTCAAAGTTTTTTCATGATAATTTGTTCAGGGGAAAAAGAGGGGAGGCAGAAGAGCTTCACCTCTAAAAAAGCTTTTGAAAACCACCAACGCAGGCTACTCTGCCCAGCCTCTTACACTCTGTGTCTGTAGCGTTAAAAGAAGGACCGTTTTCAGGTTCCCACGGCGTCGAGCCTGCTGCGCACCTGGACCTGCCCTTCTCCTGGTGATGGGCGGCGGCGCTGCTTTGCTTCCCACGGTCACTTTAGAGCTTGCTTCTAAATGTTCGCAATGTTTTATCAGAATTGAGCATTCCTCCGCTTACCTCTCTGGAAAAGTTAGTCAACCTGCAAAGAATTTTTTAAAAATGAAGGAAGCAGAAAATGACTTATTTAACAAAGGAGATGTGTATTTATATTTTATTTTGATTCTTTAAATATTAAAAAAAATATCTTTCCCATCTCATGAGGAAAATAAACTCCTTCCGTGCTCACGATGGTTTACTTAAAGGACATCAGGACTTACGAGGGGCGATTGCTAGCAAGGCGCTGAGAGAAGCACGAAGTCAGCGTAACAAGTGCCCCCGCCCCTTCTTGCTCTCCTCCCGCATCAAGTTGAGTCACCCTGTGCGTGATTTTTATAACAACACTGTACTTTGTGGGTGACAGAAAGCAGTTTTGCATCCGTCCCTCCATCCTCACTTGGCTATAAGACCCTTGACAAAATTATTTTAATAATGCAAATAAATTTGGGGCATGCCTTTTTCTTTCAGTTCTATACTTGGTGATGAATCCTTAAATCGTATTAAGACATAATTCATGTAAAGTTTTTTTTAAACACTTTGGAATCAATATGCAATTTTGTTAAAATAGTACTCATGTCCCCTTTTATGGTCTTCCAACTAATACTCATCGATTGTTACAAGCTAATATAAGAGAAAATTACATACAGAAGATATAGTTAGGGTTTGAAACAAAGGCTTAAGGAGAAAATAATTGAAATAAATGCAATAGGTATTACCATACTTCCACAGTACCCCCTGTGATTCTTTCTTCCAAATAGAAATATGAGTAACAATGTGAGCATTCTTTCCTCAAGTTTCCCTGGGTTTGCTAGTTTCATTCTTTTGAAATAAAGAATAAATTTTTGAAAATATGAATGGAAGTTGGTCCTTTACACATGGCCAAGTGTTTATGATCTTATGTGAACTGATAAAACATCACAAGGTTTGCAAGGCAAAGGAGAGAAATATATTCTACATAAGAGGAACTGTGTTCCCAACCATTTAGGTATATGATTTTGGTGAACTAGAAAGTAGCGTGACTTCGCCAAACTGCCTACCCACATTTTGTATGAAGAGCCTCAATTTTTCCAGAAGATTTTTCAAATCTTTCCATGTACTCTGGGCATAGATACTACTGAAAAAGAAACAAGCAATGAAGAAAACACACACCCACAAACATTTTTTTTCTTGTTAATTTTGACTCCCAATTGACCACATAAATAAATTTAATATCTTACCTCCAGTTCGGCTCTCTGGGAGGTGTTAATAAATTACTGATTTCAGTTCCCAAAGGATTTTTGTTTACCCACTTAAGCCCCAAGAATTTTCATTATGTTTGAATATTATGGTTGCAGTTCTCTTTTAAATGTATTACATTTGCATCAAAATATGAATTCTGAACAGAATTTAATGTTTTAGCAATAACTCAGAGTTGTAATTATGGACATAATGACATGACATTAGAATAGTGATCACATCAAGGCTTACTGATGTATGCTTTAATCCCCCACCATGCTTCCTGAAGTTGCTGTGTATATTGAGTTTTTGTCAGTTTTTTATAAGTTCTTATGGTCACATTTTTAATATTGAGGGGGTCAGATGTCATTTCCTGTTTGTGTTAATGTAGCTGTCTCTGTCATGCCTTTCTAGTCTTCTATATTTTTATGTTTTTCTATCTTTTTAATGTTTTGTTTCTAATCTATGTATTTAAGAAATAGATAATCACTCCTGTGAAAATCGTATTAGAATTCTATTTCTAGAGTTAATAGTAAATAGGCCCTCCTAAAATTAAAGTGCATGAGTTCCACACGTAGGCACATTTTTTATGATTATTCATTATTCTAATTTGCATTATAAAACATATTTGCAAGGGGGAAATTAACTCTCAATAGTAACCTGAGGAAGTTTACATTTTTTGCACGTAGTCTCAGTGACATTCATTTTGCTAGCCCAAAGACTTTTTGTCTTTGTCTTTGGCTTCTGTAATGGTCTGGGTAGGTAGTGTGTCTGATAACTGAATTCCAGATTGAGTAAGAACTATAGAAAGCCAATTTAGTTTAGTTTGGTAATCAAAATTATAACTACTGAGATGATAAACAAAAGGACTATAAAAGAAAGAATAGCTGCTTGTTTTTATTTATCTGTTTACATGACAATAGAATAATTCTGCCCCTTGCTACTCACAAAAATCAATGCCAACAAGGCAATCTCCATTTTCTGTAGCCTAATTGTTAGAGCTAATTAAAAGTTAAAAATTCGATCAATGTTAGAAAACCAGTAGCAAAGAATAAAATAACTTAGAATAAGCTTAAATACCACCTTGTTGCTGAAATTTTTAACCAATGCTTCCCAATGCCTCTATTAGAATTTGTGCTTACAGAATTTCCTATATTTAAAATGTTCCTGTCCATTATCTCAGGTTCCAGATTTGAACGATTTGCCACATTTATAGTTTTGTAATGTCACTTCACTTAAAAGATAAGGTTTGAGCCCGGCTGGGTGTGGCTCAGCGGTTGAGTGTCGACCTAGGATCCAGGAGATCAGGGTTCGATTCCCAGTCAGGCCACATGCCTGGGTTGTGGGCTGCAGAAAATCAATGACTCTCTCATCATTGATGTTTCTGTCTCTCTCTCCCTCTCCTTTCCTCTCTCTGAAATCAATAAAGATATATTTTTAAAAAATAAAATAAAAGATAAGATAAGGTTTGAGATATACTGGAAACTTTGGCCTCTATATCCCTTAATTAACTTTGTATTTCTCATGATTTTAAAGCATTGACTCTTAAACTTTATTGTGCCCTAGAATTCCCTATGGAACGTGTTAAAAATGTAGATATATAGGATTCCCCCCCTCCCTCCCAGAAATTCTGATTCAGTTGGCCAGGTAGGACTCAGAAATCTGCATTTTAAACAAATATCCCTCTGATGCTGATTCATGTGCGTTCAGGTCTTCACCTAAGGAGTTGGAAGCTATTGATAAGTGGACATGGTAATCCATTGGAGATACATTCTATTTAGCACATTAACCTCTATTTCACTATCAAATCTGTATTCGTTGTTTATAAAACATTATTGACATTTTATTCAAAGGAGTTACAAGCATTTAAAATAATATTTAACATAATAAAACAAATATTCTAAGGGAGTGACTAGATTTCATAATTACATATTATGTTATGTTGTTGCTTGATTTTCTACTTTGAGTAAATGAATTATTTTTTATAAGCCAAATCACAGATTTCCTTTATACTTCCACATGTACTTAAGGCCTTTCTCTACTTAACCCTAGAGCAACCATCTAAACCTGAAATTGTTAACAAAGCGCCATTTCTTGAAACAGAGCAGCTAAAAAAGGTAAGAACTTGTTTTTGATTAGTTGCCTTTACTTAGCCTAGTATTAGATGCCTTCTCCTGGCCTCAGATGCCAGGACAAATACGATAAACTTGCCTCTTGTGTAGCTGGCAGGGTGGCCGATGCCAGTCAGAGTCTGCATAAGGTAGAGTGGGCCACAGAGGAAGGCGATGCTGTTCCTGAAGGGGAGAGAGGGAAAGGAGAGTAAAAAGAAGTATGTCTTTCATGTCTGAATGAACCTAATATTTAATGGAGTCATGAAAGATGAGTAGACTTTCCCCTGACCAGCAATTTGTAGTAATATGATGTGAAAGAAAATGACATTTGGGGGGAAACATCAAGTTATTTGCATTGCTCAATCTTCGGGTGCTAGGACAGCAGGTAGGAGAGTGAAATAAGAGATCAGCCTGGAGAGATAAGGAGAGGCTGGTGTAGGATAAGCCTTGTATNCAATCTTCGGGTGCTAGGACAGCAGGTAGGAGAGTGAAATAAGAGATCAGTCTGGAGAGATAAGGAGAGGCTGGTGTAGGATAAGCCTTGTATGTAACGTTACATAGGGGATTTGGACTTCATTCTATTGACAAATTAAGCTACTGAAAAGTTGAAGTAAAGGTGTGAGGAAGTCAGATTTGAAAGGTCACATTAGCAGAGGTGTGAGGGAGGCCGTAAAGAAGGAGGGACAACTATGGAGTTCTGCATTTGGGCACATCGATCGGCTAGTAATTCCTAGCTAAGATACCTCAGTTTTCCTTGGGGAGTGGGGGTGGGGGACCAAGTCTGGAATTCTTTGAATCAGATTAAATTTTTCTGCATAATATTCTTATATAAGCACTAAATATTAAAGTTAAAACAAATTTGAAGAAAAGTGGTGGGGATATGTACTGCAGTCTGGAATGTATATAGTAAGAAGCTGGAGAGGCAGCCTCACTGTAACGCCGTTAATGATCGCTGTGTATGCAAACTAATGAACCATGACGATAGCCAATATTAATGTAATTATGTTATTTAGTTAATGTTAAAAATGAATAATGTCGAAATAAAATTGGTAATGCTTCTACATGAATGTGGTTTTATTCATAGCTGCAGCATCTAGGGCATATTTAAAAATGGGCAAGAGCATAATTTTAAGTGTAAGACATTGTTTTCCACAAGACAGCACTTATTCCGTCCTTAGTCAGTGCTTGGAAAATGAATGGGTGAGGAAACCTCTGGGATAACTCTAAAATCCCCCTGAGGATCCTGAGCTTCCAAACTGACACCCACTGATGAAACCAAGGCGGTAACATTTCCTCTTTTATTTTGCAGTTAGGTGACTGCATTTCAAAAGACAGTTATCCCGATGGCAACATCACGTGGTACAGGAGTGGGAAAGTGCTGCAGCCCCTCGAAGGAGGTGGGTATGAAGCGGGCCATGCGTTCAGGTGACCTGCTTTGACCTCTCTCATCTGGGGATTCCTCAAACTCCCCTGCATCTGAATGTGTTGTCCTCCTTTGATCTGTGACTTCATGCTTTGTTACTTTAAAGTATCCATTAAATCACTAAGTGATTTTTAAACACCATTTTAGCACTTGTGCAGAAGAATCTAGAACAGAGAAAATTATTTCTGTGCGTGGCATGCTTTAGAAGTTAATTAAAGTGAGTGGGAAATCAGATTCCAAGATTCTATTTCTGTCTTTGTCTCTGATTCATGGTTTTGAAAAGACATCCTACCTCCCTACGTGTCACTTTCCCCCTCCTGCTAAATACATTGAGAAGGACAGAACCACTTCTCAGAGGTGTTTGTGACATTTAATTAGGAATTGTGGGGTTTTTGATGAAAGATCCTATCATTAGTGTTCTATATTTTCTTCAGCGGCGGTCATAATTTTTAAAAAGGAAGTGGACCCAGTAACTCAGCTCTATACCATGACTTCATCCCTGGAGTACAAGACAACGAAGGCTGACATACAAATGCCGTTCACCTGCTCTGTGACATATTATGGACCATCAGGCCAGAAAACAGTTTATTCCGAACAAGCAGTCTTTGATATCTACTGTAAGTAATTCAACGTATCATTATGCAATTTTAATGCATCAGAAATAACATTCAAATACTTATCAGTCTAAGTCACAATCCTAATGATCTTTGGATTCTACTTCCAACCCCCACCCCTACTCCATAGCACCCTAATAATCTCTTACTCATTGAAACACCTATAGCATAAAGGCTTACGCGTCTTATGATATCTTTCACTCTCTACTTTGTTATTTACAAGCATTTTTTCCGTATTCTGATAGAAGCTAAGTTCCTTAAATACAAGATCTCTAACTCAGTCTTACCCTCCTGGTAGTCCTCAGCCCTGGCACACAGCCGTGAACTTTATAGGAGTTCAAAATGCCATCTGATGAAAACTTTTCTGAAGGAATGACAGATGGTTTTCTGAATGACCTATGACTGATTGGTCTTCTAGAGAAGGGATTTTCCTTTCAATAAAGGTGTTTATTTTATTAATGAAATAAGTTGTATAAGTTAAATAGGATGTTGTATTCCAAGATGTTTTGGTTACCCTTTATTTTATAGATTTGAAACATGAAATAGTAGACTACAAAGGAAACGTCTTGATCATCTGGTCTAACACAATTATTTTACTTAGCAGTAAAGTAACTTGTCCTGAATTAGCTGTAGAGACTGGGTTGGAACCCTTTTCACCACTGCTGTGCTATTTCCTGTAAGACAGGTACCAAGATAATCTAATGATTAAGAGCAAACATGCTGGCCATCCAGTCCCAGCGGTGTCAATTACTGTGTGTTTCTAGAAGAGTAGCTTAACTACCCGAGGACTCACTTCTCTTATCTCAAAATGGGACTCGTAGTGTCATTACAGAAATTAAGCGAAATCGCAAATCTAAAGTAGACACTGTATCTCACATTAAATGCTCATTATTAAGTACTATTGCCATTATTACTAAAGGATCATTATTACTACGTAAGGACAGAGGTAGTGATATCTTTTTAGGAAAAGGCAAGAAAGAATCTTCTTAATTTTTTTTAAATGCATCAAAAATTCTTGTAGCACTGCCATATGTTGGAGAGTAACCCAGCACGTCTACATCTGTTCTGGGGAAAGTGCATAAATTCCATTTGAGCCTTCAGAAAGTTTTACCCACATACATTTCTATTTTGGTTCCATAAAGTGTAGAACCTTATTAAGAACAAAACTGAAATTTGGCTTGTCCTAATAATAAAGGGTGGTTTTGCCTTTAACTTTGCAAATATGTACATTTCAACTTGATTCAAAAGCAATGATTGAGCCTGGCTGGGTGGGGCTCAGCGGTTGAGCATCAGCCTAGGATTCAGGAGATCGGGGATCGATTCCCGGTCAGGGTACATGCCCGGGTTGTGGGCTCGATCCCCAGTAGGGGGCGTGCAGGAGGCAGCTGATCAATGACTCTCATCATTGATGTTTCTATCTTTCTCTCCCTTCCTCTCTGAAATCAATAAAGATGTTTTGTTTTTTAAAAAAAGCAATGATTGAGAGGATTTCATCATGTACAGCTTATCTAAAATCAAACTGTTACCTCTGTAAGTGAAGAAAGAATTCTGTCTGTTCAAAAACATTCAATGGGAAATAAACTATCTTGGTGTAAGTGCAGGAGTACAAGATAGGAAAGAACCTCAAGATGAGTAGTAAAAATGGGAAACTGGCTTAAGAAAGAATAGAAATGTATGTGAGTGTCAGGTGTTGGTATGGGTAAGCAGAGAAGCCCTTGATCTTATTGAAGGAAATGATTTTACTGTGACTGGCTGTGTGGGGACGTTTGGCGTGGCTTTTGATGAGACACAATGTATGCAGTGTTGGGCTCCGTGGTGAAGACACACAAGTGTTTGGCATTTTAGGAATTTGCTACTCTACTAGAGATATGACACCTACATCCGAACGGAATTAGTGCAAGATTGCAAGTGGTCTAAGTGCCACAGGAACTTCATGAACAGTCCTAAAAGCTCAGGCGCCCAAGGACAGTGATTGCCAAACTTTAATGTGTATCAGCATCGCCTGAGGAACTTGTCAGAACGCGGCTGCTGGGCCCTGCTCTAGTTTCTCATCCTCTAGGTGCTGGGAGGGCCCAGCACTGGGCATTTATAACAAATTCCCGGCGATGCTGATGCTGATGATTGAAGACCACACTTGGAGAACCGCTACTCCAGGATGACTTCATAGAAGAGAGGGGGCCAGCTAAATGGAAAGGACACAGAGTACACTCAAGGGAATAGAAATTTGATAAATTCATCTTGATAAAGATGCCCTGGGCTACTCCTCCCTTACCGTATTCAGTCAGTAAAGAATTCTTATAGAATCTAGTTCCTTAATCTTTGTGTTTATCTTATCTTCTGACACCACCTAGGATGATGTCACCATTCTTCATCACCTGTATTTTTGTGACAGTTTTCTAAATAGTACTCCTCTTGTTTACTTATTCCAAACTGCCCTCCAAGACGCTGTCAGGAATATCTTTCTAAAACACAAATGTGACCATGTCACTGCTGTGATTAAAGTTCTTCAGTGATACCTCAGATCTCTGAGATTGACCTTCACGCTCCTGACTGATCTCAGTATGCCTTGAGTCCCCTGTAGCCATGGTCCTGCTCTGTGTCTCAACCTTCATTACTTCCCTGAACCTACCATAGCCTGTTCTGCTTTCCAGATTCTTCCTGCAAAATAGCACCTACATGCCTGGCCGTATGCTGTTACTGCCTCGTCTAGCAAACACCTACCTAGTCTTCAAAACCCAGATCCAGAGTCAATTCATACTAGAAGCTTCCCAGTCTCAGGCATCTATAAGTACCAGGGGTCACTATGCTTACACCATATGCAGTTTTTACATTATTTTCGTCTTAATTGTTAAGTATGGTTTGATCTTAATTTGAAAGTTCATTGAAGGCGGGGACTGGGCTGCTGTCACCTTTATAACTCTAGCACTTAGTACCTGCAGAAAACAAATATTAGCTAACAAATGGATAAAATGACTGGACAGAGGATTAACGGAGAGACAGAAGAAAGAAGAATTGAGTAGACTCTTTTGTTTATTATGTAGAGGTATGTACAGAGTAGTGAGATGAGAAATAGATACCAGGCTAGGAAAGGTTTATTTCCATCTCACATGTTGGGAATGCATGAGGCTTCTGAATGTCATTGCAATAGTCAAAGCACTGCTTAAAAACTGACTTAGGGGAAATACACAAGGGTGGGCCAAAGTAGGTTTACAGTTACTCATATGGAAAATACAATAATTAAATAAAAATACAAGAATGAACTCTGTTTCAGGTACCCTTAACTATAAACCTACTTTTGCCCACCTCTGTATATGAAGGAGCAGAGAGAGGAAAGGTTCAAGGTGAGGGACTGAGTGAAGTTTGATGGCCGTGTTTCCTATGTAGGTTAATTAGAGCCTGGGCTAGGGAAGCATTAGTGGGAATAGAAGGAGAGAATGACATGCCAAATATATTAAGTATTAATCATTAAGACTGGGTGATTGAGTGGGTAAGAGATGACAAAAGAGAAAGCCACAGCAACTGGCAAAATGACAGAGTAAAATTCAAAGTCAGGGGCAAAGGGAGTGCAAGAGATCATTAGTTTTGTTTGAGGCGTGTTAGTGGACATCGAGAAAGTGACTGTGAAAAATAAAATGTGTTACATTAACCTTCTGATCTCAGTCTAGTCCTTCAACCCCCTGGGATGGAGCAGAGCCTATCGAGAAGGGGACACAGAGAAGGGGCCTTTTGAAATGGAGCAGAAAGGCGGATGGATTGTGACCCCTAGCTCTTGTGTCAGCCTTAATCGGGGATGTGCCACAGCAACGGGCCAAAACTAGTCAGAGAAGGGCCACCTAAAAGAGTGAGGAAGGCCCTAGCTGATTTTGCTCAGTGGTTAGAGCATCAGTCCACAGACTGGAGGGTCCTGGGTTCAATTCCAGCCAAGGGCACACCTCAGTTGCAGGCTCGATCCCCTGCCCTTGTCAGGACTGATGTGGGAGGAAACCAATCGATGTGTCTCTCTCACATCAGAGTTTCTCTCTCTCTCTCTCTCTCTCTCTCTGAAAAGCAATGGAAAAAATATCCTCGGGTGAAAAGGGCCTAAAAATAGAAGGTCAGTAGGGGACCAAAATCAAACTTAATTTACTTTCCAACTTTACCAGGAACTGCTGGTCAGGGATCTGCCTCAGGCAAATTCAGAAAAACTAACAAGAAGTGTATTAAACCAATCACTGTTCAGCCTCAGAACATTCTGGGCAAATATTCAGAGATGCCCGAGCATGAAGAAAAGGCAAAGAAGCAACCTACAACAATCCTCCTGTTTTTTTCTGTACTTTGATCTTGGAAATATAAGCAGCTGCAAGAGACGGAAGAAAGCCTCCAAATCTACCCCTTGCTTGATTTGTTTTTAGCTGATAGCAAAATAAATCTTCATAGATAATTTTTAGTGCTCCCAGTTTGGAAATAGAGACACACGCCTCGATGGTATCAAGCCTGTGGAAAGAGTCTCTAAAATAAACCTTTGCATTAAATGATTTTGAAATTTAATGTTTATTGTATTATCACACTTTATAACAAGTGGATAAGTTAGAAAGTGGGTGATTTATAACCACCAACACCACCTCCTTTTATTTCATATTTGCTAGATACGGTCCACTGTATCCAGCCTTTAATTGCTTTAGCATTCTATTGTTGAGCAGTAGCCTTACTCAAGAATACCCTTTGGCCCTATTTCCTCCATAAAATTGACTGAAATGGGATGAAAGTTGCATCTTGGCTCCACTGAATGGAACAGAATTACAATATACTTACAGTCCTGTTGATTGTGTTAAGCATCTCCCTCAGTTCACGGCATTCATCATTTTGAAAGCTGATCTACTCGCCTGCATGCTCAAAATCTTGCTGGCGTTATTTAGCTCATGTATCTTTTTATTTAATATGAGGTATTATTATGTAATGTGAGTGCAGGGGTGCTTAATAGCATTAGCTACTTTGCTAGCTGATCCAGTCTTTCCAAACTGTAAGATTCATGTAATATAGTTAAGTGTTCCTGTAATGAAATCATATAGTGAGATTGTTCTTACTGGTGATTTACCCATAAAATAATTCTGGTCATTCCTACCTCAGTTGAAGAAATTTTGCTAAGAAGAAATTGATTTGTATGTAACAGAGTCTCTTTGTAGTTTGTTCTAACCGAGATTAGTGCTCGGCGTAGCAAGTAGCTATTAACTTCAATCCTTCTATAAAAAGATACATTTAAGTAATTACCATCACTAGCTTCTTGAGAAAATTGTGTATAATTTAGTTATTTACATTGTATGGACAGAGTAATTTGGTACTTGGCAAAAATGTTTAACTCGTATCTGTGACTCTTGCAGATCCTACAGAGCAGGTGACAATACAAGTGCTGCCACCAAAAAGTGCCATCAAAGAAGGGGACAATATCACTCTGAAATGCTTGGGAAATGGTAACCCTCCTCCTGAGGAGTTTTTGTTTTACTTACCAGTAAGTGCTTAAGGATTGTTACTTGAGCTAGAATACTTTCTTTTTGTCCTGTTGTTTGGCAGCTGGCTGACATTAAAGATTGAATGTACTTGGGCAGCTTAAGTGAGAAAGGATGTTTGTCTTGGGGACAAGGGACACCTGTAGAATGTCCTTTGAAAGCTTTTTCAGCATCTGCCAATAGTCTTGCCTTTTTTTTTTTCAATGTTAAGAGATTTCAAAGAATAGAAGAAAAAAGCTGATCGCAGGAAACTATTAATTATGAAACTTCAACCTTTCATTATCCCAATAAACTATAAGAACCTGCTGTTTAGAAGCAGATAACTGTAAAAGGAAGAGTGATGGCGGCAAGTGCGCTGGTACAGACTCTAATTCTGCCCCTAGCTCCTTCCCGAACACGCCTGTGAGCCTCCGAAGTGGGAACAGCACTGTTGCGGATTCTATTTAGCTTCTCAGACTAAAGCCGGGGCTCTAGCCGTTGCATATAGTCTTGAAGCACCAGCTCCTCAACTTTTATCAGTATCGTAGCTGAAAGGGATGCTGTGTAGAGAGGGTCGTTTGGACAATTCCCTAGGACGTCTTCTCGATGCCGCAGAGACCTGGAGCCCGGCTAGGAGACCGCCCGTCTGAGGACCCTCCTTCGCTCTCCCACAGCTCGCCCTGAGCTTTCCTTTGTGACCGTCTATCGAGAGGAGCCGTGTACAACTCTACATGCACTTGCTGCAGGGATATGTTTAAAATGTCATCTGCTGCATTCCTCCGTAGAGTTTAAGACTGTCATCCATGACGTTCCTCAGAAGACCAATCTAAGGAGCTTCTTTTAGGCTTCCGTGCTGACAGATGGCTTTGTGTCTTCTAATAAATTGACACACTGTTTCTGTCTAACGTGCAAACAAAATTTGGAAACTAGTTAAGTTTCCATCTTGGCAATCAGGGGTCACAGGGCCAAATGCTAGTCTTAGTTTTGGCAACAATATCTGGTACTTATCTTTTTTTGGTTAACATATATTCCTAGTTCATTTATATTTTTATATCTCAGTTTGTTATTGGGGTATTTTTCTCCTTTATTTTTTTCTTTTTTTTTTTCTTTCCTGCTTTTCCTTCCTTCCTTCCTTCTTCATTTCCTTCCTTCCTTCTTTCCTTCCTTCTTTCCTTCCTTCCTTCCTTGCTACCTTTCTTTTTCTCCTTTTTATTTGGATATATGGCATGCTTTCTTTTAAGTTGCCTTGACTTTTCCTGTCAAATTAGGCAAGGCATAAATATAAAAATAAAATATTGGAAATTAAAATAAAAATAAAACATAATCCATGCTATCAATAAAATAGATGTCATCAATACAATGTAAATTAGCTCCTAAATATCAATTAGTTTCTAGGAATCAGATAATACCAACTATCCTCTCGTTTGTCCAATCAAAGAAATATATGACCTTTTTTACTTATTTGAGGAAATGTCATTTTCATCAAGAAATACAACTGTCTGTATTATAGCTACCAAGTGTGCTAACCTGACATTTTGCCTCTGTCGAAAGGGACAGCCCGAGGGAATACGAAGCTCGAACACTTACACTCTGACAGATGTGAGGCGCAATGCAACAGGAGACTACAGATGCTCCCTGATAGACAAGAAGAGCATGATTGCTTCAACCACCATCACAGTTCACTGTAAGTCACTTTATTCTTCACGTAACGTGGTTTCATTTGACTTACAGAAGGACATAAACACCAGCTCCACTTTGGTCCAGATTTGCACTGCAGCGCTGAAATCTTGCCTGGATCCATTAGCTGCAACTTTTGACAGTAGGAAACCTCAGCCTTTTGTTATTACTACCTTCAGTTTGAGGAATCAACAAAATATATGCATGAATATTAAAGAAATAACTCATTTTACCTTTTAAGAAAATATTTAGATATTCTTGAAGTTTACAAAGTTTTCATTTGGCACATAAAAGTATAGATTAAGTATCTCTTTAAAAATTACAGAACAAATATTATTAACATCCAAAGCCCAGCAACACAAAGTCAATGTAGAGTCAACCTTTGGAAGAAGAGGTAGAAACTCCTAAAAGCCATTTATTAGCTTTTTTTATAGAGGAAGATAGAAATTTTTTAGAAATAGACCTCTTCAAAATCACTCTGTAATACCTTTTTTTTTTTTTTTTGGTTAATGTTCACCTGCTTTTCATCTCTAGGTACTTCAAAAGTTACATTTACTTCAGTGTAAATTTACTACAGAAAAAGATACACATAGAAAACAGACACTTTGTGTTCTTTGCTTTGTAACTCCTGACAGTTTATATTACTGATGTGCTTGATGCACTGTGGAAACTGGGAACAAATTTGAGCTGCTCTCTGGTGACACTAGACTTCACAGAGTGCTTTGGGCAAATGTCAGTCCTGCTTGGAGGTATAGACCAAACTTTCTGATACATCTTTGGCACCCAACAGCACCATCATATAAATAAGGTTTCCTCTCGACATGATCCACTACTAGCCCACTGAGTATGAGGGGTTTCTTTGTTTTAACATTGAAAAAGACTTTAGAAGTTGTTCTGAGGAAATGATTCTAAATCTTTCATTCTCCCCACAATGCTTGGGAAACACGTAGGAGAGAAGCCAAAACTCTGAGGGAGATACAAGAAGGTACTTTAGAGAGTGGAGTAACCAGATGGTTGTTTGGAGTGTGTGGTGTTGGAAGGACATCCTGGGAGGCCTTTAAAAATAGTGTACTGTTGAGAAATATACACAGCCCGTCCGTTTCTCTGTTTGCCCCGTGTCCATGTTGCACAGATCTGAGTACGTTGCCACCAGGGACTGTTTAAACAAAAACCAGTGACCTCTCAGGATAGCAAGAGTGCTACTTTTCTCTGAGGACTAGTCAGTCATGGGACCATTTATCCAGCCTGTTCCATGAAAAATAAAAAAATAAAAGTGAAGAGACCGTAACCAGCATGTAGAATTGCCTATGGAATAACTCTCTGATACAACTGTTCATGAGATCTTGGGCCAATAACCAATAATCCAGTGCTCAGAGGTGGTATGTTTACATTTCAGAGATGTTAGCTACTCCCTGGGACACTAAAAGGAGAGGGCTCTTATTTGTATCACCTGTAGATCAAGCAGGGGGAAACAGATAACAGACCAATAAATCAAAAGACTTGGTTGCAGCCCAGCCAGCGTGGCTCAGCGGTTGAGCGTCAACCTAGGATCCAGGTGATCGGGGTTCGATTCCCGGTCAGGGCACATGCCCAGGTTGTGGGCTCGATCCCCAGTCGGGGGCGTGCAGGAGGCAGCCGATCAATGACTCTCTTCATTGATGTTTCTATCTCTCTCTCCCTCTCCCTTCCTCTCTGAAATTAATAAAGATATATTTAAAAAAAAAAAAAAA